TCTGGTCTGGTCATTCTCCACCTAGCCTAAGTTAGTGCTTCCACCTCAGGCTTTTTGAATGTCTGCACCTAGCTAATGTCTATATAATTGAGGACCATATCATGTATAGGGAAATCAAATTAAATTAAGGATGCACAAACCACCTTAACAACCGCAGTTTTTTTTTCAACCTTACTGCTTGATTCTGGAACTTTATTGATGTTCTTTTAATATAAGTTTATTTTTGTATCTGCAAAAAATCTCCTAGGTTTCTAAAAATAAGATTAAAAACCTTCCAGAAATTCCAGCATGCAGGATCAACACAATGTGGTTCTTGAAGCAGGGTTGACACCTTCATATCCACCGCACAGACCTCATCCATTTGAGCTCATGGAGTGACTGATAATGCTAATTGACTGTCAGCCTCTGGGTAGTACAGCACTTCAGGGTTTCAGAGGTATTAGCTGACAGCAGAGGAATTCTGAGACTCCAGAACCTTGTGCTCTGTTCCAGCTACGGGAGGAGAGTATATTCTGCTGGGCACAGGCTCAGACCAGTGTTGCCAAGTCTCGAGAGAAAAAAAAGCGGCACTGCCTTTAAAAACAAGCCCAACCCATTTCAAACAGAGGCGAGTGGGAGTGCTTATCAATCCTTGACTCTCAAAAAATTAAAAGTGAGTTTTGAAAATAACAAGCCCAGTTCTGCTTATTATAAGCAGACTTGGCAACACTGGTTCAGACTCTTTTGGTTGTTTCTCCTGAGTCTGTCCCCCCGAAGGGAGGGGACTAGTCAAAATAAGTTTTTGGAGAAGGTCTGGTAAGACAACTTTGCTGAGAAAACACAATATGACTCTATGACCTTATGACATCTGACACTGGCTCTGATAAATAGCCAGCTTTGGACCTGTTGTGTAACAATGCTTGCCTTGGTTTTTTTGTTTTTCCACATCTTATAGTGGTTGCCTCAATTTACTGTTACAGGAGCATCAGCTGGGTGTAACCAGCTCATGAGTTTCCCAGCTTTGGCTCTGGGAAATATCAGTTGGAGTCTGGCTGGCATGCAGTTACTGCTCTGATTGTAGGACCTAATCTTGTAATAAAACTTGCTAACTTTTATGTTAAGTTTTTGTATAGGTCTGGAGGGCTGGGATACTAGCTGGATTCTACCTTTCATTTTTTTTCTGCTACACATAGTCCTTTTTTGTCATAAATTCTTCATAAATTACATACAAAGAAAAGAAAAAAAAGAGAAAAGAATGGAACTGAAGGGGAAAAGGAAACTGTATTGCTTACAAGATTTAAAATATAATATTTCTATGAGGGTTCAACATTTTTGGCATCACTGGTCTTGCACTTAACATCTAATATTGTCATTAATATTTATTTTACTCCACAATCTGAAGACCCTTATTAGGATTGAGATGAGATTAGGATGAGATAGGATGGGTTTCAATACGGACAAGTGCAAGGTGTTGCAGCTGGGGAGGAAGAACCAGTAGCAGAGCTACAGGCTGGGGAATTCCCTTCTTGTCAGCACAGAGGCAGAAAAGGATCTTGGTGTCACTACTGATTCCAAGATGAACATGGGCCAATGTGGGGACACGGTCAGGAAGGCTAACTATAACTTGTCATGCATCCATAGATGCATCACGAGCAGGTCCAAGGAGGTGATCCTCCCCCTCTATGCGACATTAGTAAGGCCATAGTTGGAGTACTGTGACCAGTCCTGGGTGCTGCACTTCAGGAGGGATGTGGACAGCATCGAGAGGCCACTTGCAGCATCAGGGTGCAGCAGGGCAGGCCCTACGAGGAGAGGCTACAGGACCTGAATCTGTTCAGCCTCCACAAAAGGAGGCTGAGAGGGGACCTGGTGGTTGTCTTTAAACTTGCCAAGGGGGACCAGCAGGCAATGGAAGAGTCCCTGTTCCCCCGAGTACTACTGGGGGTAACAAGGAACAATGGCGATAAGTTGACGGAAAGTAGATTCAGGCTAGATGTCAGGAGGCACTACTATATGGTTAGGGCGGCTAGGATCTGGAACCAACTTCCAAGGAAAGTGGTGCTCACCCCTACCCTGGGGGTCTTCAAAAGGAGGCTAGATAGCCACCTGGCTGGGGTCATTTGACCCCAGCATCCTTTCCTGCCCATGGCAGGGGGTTGGAATTGATGATCTGCTTAGGTCCCTTCCAATCCTACCAACTATGAAACTATGATTGAAGCCTGGTTATTAATATGGCACTAGTACGGGGAGGCACAATTAGCAATTCAAAAAGCTTACATTAAAATGTTAAATCTCTTGCAGAAATACTTAATAATGGCTGTATTCTAGTTAAACTATATATCATTTCAGGTAAATCCAACAAGGCAAAATAATGCGGAATGATTTGACAGCCATTAATGCATAGGCTTAACTTTATATGCTGGATTAGTTCAATTGCCTTCAATACGATTATTCAACTCCAATATCATTAAAGGCATGCACAAGTGTTTGAACGATGAAGGCTACAGTGCTGACTTAATTTATAAGAGAATAAAACATACCTTTTTACAATAAACCCTTTTGGAGATGGTGATGATAAAGTACAGTCTGGAAATGTTAAAGGTATGGTACTGAAAGTTATCCTTAGCTGGAGGTTTGTGTAAATGTGCATACACAGTTTACAAATTACAGGAATCTTGTATTTGTGCTATTGGTGTTCTTTTGTCAGGGTCTTAACTGGGCCTTACAAAATGCTGAAATTAAGAGAAAATTCCTCATACAACCAACATTTCCATCATGGCATAGTCATGCCCTGGAAAAGCAGTAGCACAGCTCCCTATCTTTGTTTTTTCATGCAAGTGCATGCCTAATAACAATAAAACTTATCATTTACTACTTAAATAGATTATGGAAGGCAGCACATATTTGAATTAGGACACAATTAATTTAACAGGATTTTTAAATGCTGACAAAATGGAAACTCATTATTTATACTGGCAAATGAAATCCATGACAGCAATAGCTAACTGAATACATAGTACACAGTAGCCGCATGTTTGCCCAGTAGATTAACAACAGCTGCAATGTTTTTCTTAATTTCACAGTTTCCACAAGGTGACCGATTTTTACGTAGGGCCCAGTCCAGCAAAATGCTGAGTCAGATCAATGAGGAATCAGTGTCTCCTGGAACATATCTTGAGTTACCTTAGAGAGGCAAGGGTTTTAAACATCTTTGGTGGTGTTATCTTTTATTGGACTAGCTGCACGAGTTATCTGCCAGTTTCCATCCGCATTGCTTCCTGTCCAATGCTAGCCCTAGCTGCTCAAGGTGCTGGGTAGCCTGCCACAGCCCTTGGGTTACTTGGCTGTGAAGGGTGGCCTGTTCTTTGCAAGCCTGAAACCTCAAGCCTAACCCCACCCCGTCAGCAGCAGCTGGAGCATATGCAGGCATTAGGTTCAGTTGCTCAGTTTTCTTCCACATAAGGGCACCCAAGGCCAGTAAGCTGGCTTTCCAGACTTGCACCAAACCAGTGATTCCCAATCATGGTGCCACAGCACCGTGGGTACCTTGAGATCTTTTTGAGGGGGCTGCACATTAGCTGTTAGGTTTACAAACACAAGCCGCAAGATAAACTTAGTGCTTTCAAACAGAAAATGCAGAGCTGGGGGCTTTGAGCTCTTTTTAACAAGAAAACAGCACTTATATTTTTCTGTTGCCAAAAAAGAGTGAAAATTAAGAACGCAGACAAGGTCCTTTGGGTAAACATGATATCTTTTATTAGACCAATAGTTGGAGAAATTGTTCTTTGCAAGCTTTCGGGTACAAATGTCCTTCTTCAGGCGCAGGGAGAGTTTGTTATTTGTTTGTGTGCTCTCCCGGGTGGAAGTAAAATTAAAATTACGAGTGGCATTTTCCGAGGGGGGCCGCCAGTCTGTGCAGGGATGCTTCCAGTCTGACAAGGGGTGAGACCCACCAGTGGAAACCGCATGGCCCACGTTTTCCCAGTATGTTAACAGCAGCTGCAATGTTTTTCTAAATGTCAGGCTCTCTGTGGGCCAAAGAAAGCGGGGGTCTCCGAGAGGGATTCTACTCTGAGACTTGGGATGATCTGGGGGAACGTTTGTTCACCAGAGCACCCCAAGGGATGATGAGGTCGATCCATCATAAACTACCGCGAGACTGTTTCAGGCTGAACATAAGGAAGAATTTCTTTACTGTCCGAGCCCCCAGGGTCTGGAACAGCCTGTCATCGGAGGTGGTTCACGCACCTACATTGAACACCTTCAAGAGCAAATTGGATGCTTCTCTTGCTGGGATCCTATGACCCCAGCTGACTTCCTCCCCTTTGGGTGGGTGGCTGGACTCCATGATCTTCCGAGGTCCCTTCCAGCCCTACTGTCTATGAACTCTATGATGCCACCGCACCCCTGGGGGTACAGAGGACGCTACACTTCTGAAGACAAACCACTGTTTCTATGCTCCCCGCCCAGCCCCCAGGGCCACAACATGTGCCAACAAGACCCACGCAGCAGCAGGAGCCCACCTGAGGCCACCTCCTCAACACTGCCCAGCGCTCGTAGCCTTTCCTCGCACATGCGCATACCACACAACGAAGTCGGTCAGGCGCATGGCTGGGGGGGGGGCATTGAATGGCTGAGTGCTTTGTGCGCATGCCCACGCCACGCTGCAGTTCAGCGGGGTGGACTGTAAGGGGATGCCTAAGGAAAAGCCGGCCAGGTGCACTAGGGGGTGCATGGAATGGCTGGGAGTGCTTTGTGCGCACACGCGTGGGCGAGTCACGCAAAAGGCGGCCAGCTCCACTGCGAAGTAAGGCATGGAATAGTGGAGAGCGCATGCGCACTAGGCCTTGCCGCTAGCGGGGCGGTTCCGAGGAAGCCGGAAGCAGCGGAGCGAAGGGGCGGGGTTTGGTTCCGCGTGGCGCCAGTGTTGCCGCTGCCTCATGGAGGTGGCTACGCAGCTCGAGACGCTGACGTTTGACCACGCGCCGCCGCCAGGCCCGGGGCCCGACTCCGAGCCCACCGCGCAGCCGGGCCAAGCCCCGCCGTGCGCAGGCGCCGAGGCCCCGGCGGGGGACAGCGGCCAGCCCTGCTTCACCTCCGACTCCTCCTTGGACTCGGACTCCTCGGACTCGGACAGGTGCGTGGGGCGGCGCCTCGTACCCTCCTCCCTGGGCGCGGGGCTCCGAGCTGCTGTCACGGGGTGCGACATCCGTGGGGGCTCGGATACCTCCCCTG